TGAACAACAGACACTCAGGCTCCAGACACTGAGGGGTCACACTTCTCCCTCTGCCTACATCCGACAGCTTCTTCATTTCATGTTTCTCAAATGTCCCTTCCTTTGCAGTCCCCTAGAGTGGTATCCAGATTAACTCATACTAGACAGAAAAGTACAAAAGATTAAAGATAAGGAGTGGGGGGGGTGCTGCTTGACTGTTTCAAGGGCAAGTGTTAGGACATTTCAGAGATCTCTGGGCTGATAATCAGCTGTCAACAGTGATCACTCATGACGTGCCAACTGCACGCAGGGGCCATGAGACTGCACCCTGGGCAAAGATGCTGTGAATCCTGCTCAGGAAGGGCAAGCAACCTGCCTGCGGCACAGAAGCCACATCTGTGCCCCTAAACACCACATCCTCCTGACCAGGCTGTTTGGTTCTCCAGATTTAGGGGGGTGCAGCATTCTTTGAAGGACCAAATCCAGAAGTATGTGTGGTTAGGACCATCCCTAGACTTTCCCAGAAAGCCTTTTTGATCTCTAGGCCAATCTGAAATTCTTACAATCATCACACAGGCACAGTATCTCAAGCTCCTTTAATGACAATTACTTTTAATGTTATCATGGTTCCTGAGCTCCTTCAGGATGTTACAAATACACAGAGTACAAAATAGAATGGCTACCAGGCATGCTTCAAAATGACAAAACAGGATGTGATTAAGACAACTTTGTCACGTATTTCAAAATAGAAAACCTTTTTCATAGCAATTCCAGGAAGAGGAGGAGAAGGAAATAAGGTGTAACCATAAAGATCAGCAACAATTTTATTATTTCATTTATTTATTTATTTTTTTAAAAGATGACTAGTCAGGGGATCTGAACCGTGGCCTTGGTGTTATCAGCACCATGCTCTCCCAAGTGAGCAACGGGCTGGTCCCAGCAATGATTTTAAAACATATAAATTTGACACATACCATAATGAACTGAAATATGCTCCAACTTATTTTGTAATGGATTTAAAAATAACAAGTTAAAGGCATATTATTTGGATAAATATTTTCTGGCCTACAAACAAGTGACTTTATCTTGCTTTATTCTGCCACTTTATTCATTTTACAAAATCCACTGAGCACCTGCTATGAAAGAGAAATGTGAGATGAAAATGAATGAAAACTGGCTACTGATCCCAGGAGTTTATCAGTAGGGAAGAGAGAACACTAGCAACCATTATAGAAACTGGCCCAAATGTCTTAGGACAGGTACTCATGGGGACAGGAAGAGAATAGGGGGAGAGGTACCAGGGCAGAGGGTACTAGGGAAGGGGGAGAGGGAGAGCCCTAGGAAACATCCACTAAATCTAATACAAGCTGAACACCGTGCTGGGCACACAGAACACAAAGATTAGTAAGATACAGCCCCACTCACGGAAGGTTTTCAACTTTGGGGTAAAAATTAAATTATTAATACCTAGCACATATTAATTCATTTGATACAACTATGGTATAAACTAGGTACTGTCATTAACTAGTTCAAGGTCACATCCTTAATAAGAGGCCACACCCAGAGCTCTTAATGCCACACCTAACTGCCTCTGTAGCTGGAACAAAAGTAAATAGTTGGCAATAAAACCAGGGAGAATAAAATAATTACTGAGCAAAGAGAAGGAGTAGGTCCTCACCAAGCCACGTGGCCCTTGATCACCCAGCCCTGCCTTCTCCAGCCTTCACTTCTACCCCCCTCCCCTGCCTCCCACTGGTCCTCAACCTCCACCCTGGAGGGGTCGGGGGTGCTTCCGAAACTGTGGTTAGGGCACTTTGCCTGTCAGTGACTGAAGCATCAGGGATACTATTAGAAAAAAGTAATCTCTGCAGGTAATGTCTACAAGGCATCCAGAGACGTTAAGACAGACATCAGGACCTAAGAGGTAGAAAGGAGGCAGGTGAGTTGTCCATGTGGAATTATGACTTGGATATTTGACTGTTACGTGAGAGACCAGAGAGGTCTCAGGGCCCCGGGTAACCACAGCAGAGGTGGTGGACAAATGAGTGGTGAAGAAATTAGAAAAATCAGTGGATTTAAAGTACACGTAGGAATCAGAATGAAGTCAAGAAATTCTTGCTTTTCTTATTTTTATTTTTTTTTGGCCGCTGGCCAGGACAGGGATCAGAACCCTTGACCTGGTGTTATAACACCACTCTCTAACTGAGCTAACTGGCCTGCCAGAAACCCTTGCTTTTCTAGCAATGCCCAAACATAAAAAAGGAGTCATGAGACACACTCACTAGAATTATGACTAACTGCAAAGAAACAAGGAGAACATTTAAGATTCAGAAGCAACACAGAGCTGGGAGACAGCAGCCATATATAAAAGAAAACCTCCTAGACACAGATTTGAACTTTGAACTAACTGCCTGGTCTTCAGAGACATGTCCCAAGGGTTAAGAGCCAGTAACCAAGGCCCCATACCCCAAAAAGGGTCTTTGATCATCTGACTCATGAGCCTCCCAATCCATTAATCCCTCCAGGCCTCAGTCTGTCATAAGAATCAAATGCGTTAATACGTGTTACATTTTTAGAAAAATTCATGGCACAAAGTATGCACAATAAACCCACCCCACATGGGTGGGAGCCTTACTTGTGATTTTCAAGTTCCTCTGCTTCAGCTCCTGCGAATGCCATTCTTTCAATTGAGGCAGGACCCTAAGGAAAAAACATCACACAGAATAGAGTGAATCCACCCAACAGGAACCAAGGTCGTGCGTAGCCCTAGTAAGGCAGGAAGTCAGCGCAATGAAGTGGAATTCTCTACACACTTACATCAAATATATTACCTAAGTGTGTAAAGTGTGTGTGTGTTTAGAGGGCTGCTAATTTCTGAGAGGAGGTAGCAAAAATGTGCCAAAAGCCCCCATGGGCAGCACTCCACACTGTAGAGAACCTGTCCCTGTGTCCCTCTTTCCCAGCCCAGCAATGGTCAGGACCTCATTCACCCCATCAACCACACCTCTCTGCCTCACCCTTCTAGATCTTAAGAATCCTCTTCCAGATTTCAAAGACAGATGAGGGAGCAGGAGGGACCAGGGCAAAGGCATCAGCTTGGGGACAGGAATCAGCCTGCTGCCCCGCCTACACTACAAAACCCAGAGGGAAAAAAGTTGCATGTACATAACCAGTCATTTTATTGGGAGTGAACAGTCAGAAAACCCCCGAGACTACTTCTGTGTGTGGACAAGGGCAGAGTTCTGCCAGAGTGCTTTGGAGGAGACGGTGGCTCCCACTCGGAACTTGGCTAATGAAGCAACATGTCCCTGCACCCCTGCACCGGCCAGGCCCCCAACTCCCCGGACAGCCTCGCAGGATGGCAAGGTCCACCTAGATAAGGAGAGTGAAGCACAGGATTCACAGCATGATCCAAGGGTCACAACGACAGCCAGCAGAGCCTGCGAAGTGTGGCCACTTTCCTGAGTCCAGGCCATGGCCCCAGGCGCGGCTCTCCCCTACGTCTCATCAGTCACTGATCACCAGGCCAAGGCCCCAAAGCTCCCATTTTGGAGAACAGGATTTATAACTGTTATTACCATAATATGCTGACCATTTCAGTAAATTCTGAAGGCCAGAGAAAACTACAGTATTGGGTCTGCAGCCAAAATTTTCCTGCAGCTGCTGGCTTGTCTCCCATCGCTGGCTTCTGCTGTCCCTTAGCATTTACAAGACACTTCTTTGGCCCTGTTGCGGTCCAGCTAAGCGAAGCTAAGGAAGGGACAAGTTCTAGGAGGTGCCACCTTCCTCCTCTATCCCCAGGGGTCACATCAAGCACAGCGCAGGGGAGGATCACTTAGGAGCTGAGCGTGCAGAGGCGCCAGGAGCAGGCTCCCTGGTCTGCATTGAGGGAGGAGCTGGCAGGCGGCTGGCGCCTGTGTTCCCGTGACGCCCCATGAAGGATCCGGGGCCATAGACGGCTACAGTCACTTCTCCACTGAAAGCAGCAGGGTCTGGGGTTAAGCAGAGTCCTGGGGGTCAGTTTCTGTCAGTAGACGTGTTCCCCTGTAAGAGCAGTGCCTGCTTACAGCTACCTCTCCAACCTCTTCACCCTCCAGGCATGCTGTGTTTTGGGGTTTTTTGGGGGGTGGGGTGGGAGCTGGTGGGAGGAAGCAGCAGCCCAGGGGATGGGCAGGGGAAGTCAGAAGCAACCTCCTTCCCTTGGAGCAGCCTCTGAATCAGAGAAGGTAGAGAGTTGCCTGGGAGACTCCCCAGGCAAAATCTGACCCCTATTTTACAGAAAAGGAAACCAAGTCAGACAGAGCTTCCTGCCTGGTCCTGCAGAGTGAGGGTGTTTTTCTCTAGGCTTGGCTGCTTTTCTTTCCTCCAAACCAGAGAAATTTCAGCCAGATCAGCAGAGAAACCAGCTCCTTTGCCAGTCCTTGCCCTCAGCTGCCTCACACCCTGCTTCCCCGTGTGATCTGACTACTGGTAGGCTGTGACCTTCCAGAAACTAACTTCTCTCTACCCCCCAGCCCAGCACTCAGCAAGGGTCTACTGAACCAACTTCGTTTGCAGAGTTGCAGACTTCTGCAGAGCTCCAATCAGAAAGTTCCCTGCTAAATCACTTGGGTGATGACCACGCAGGCCAAGTTTGCCTGGAGGGTTCTGGCATAATTATCAGAGGCACTTTTTCACTATCCAAAGGATCTGGACCTGGAGGATAAATTATATGGTCACCCCACTCACCAACTGAGAGATCAAAGGTAAAAGGAGATCCTTGTGCTGATTACCAATGAGGCAATTACAATTTAGGGACAGAGTGCTATGTTTCAAATTCAAAAGAAACATGCAGTTTGAGTACTGTGTTTTGTGTTGTCCAAGAAGACTAAAATCCTATAGCAGAATAATGTGTTTTTCTTTTGCAGTCTTGTGAATGTATTAAATGTATTGCTCTTATGAAAATAAATAAAATTCAAAAGCTTTCAGGCTAAAAAAAAATGGTGAATGAAGTTGCATGCTGTTTTCCAACCTTCAAAGGCTGGTCACGTGTGGCCCCTGGAGATTAGTTTAGACAAGGAGGGGGGCGGACCGGGACCCAGTGTCAACTGCATACTCTCCATTCCAGGCCACAACTTAAGCATCAGACAAGAAGCCTTCTAGTTACCCTTTTTAGCTGCAGGAGGAAACACCTCCAGGAGCACCCTGGAACACCCCCGCCCTGCCCCTGGCTCCTGCAAACCGAACATTTTCAAGTACTGCCTTTTGTTCAGCTTAACTCTGCATCTTGTTTTAATGTACAGGTTATTCACAGAATTTTAGGCAATATCTCTGATTGCTTTTTAAATTGTTTTACTGAATTACAATTATGTGCATCCTGGACATTTTCCCTCCAACAGATAATATGTATAGTTTATTTCCCAATGACATACATCTGATTTTGCAAAATGAACAGCCAGACTCTTTATCTCAGATCCGACACCAGTGCAGCCTTCCACTCCCTGTTCACTGCTTGGCTGAGAAAGGCTGATTTGCCAAACCCAGTCCCACTGCAGCCACTGTCTACCCCAGGACAGGCGCAATTGGTTCTGCCTTTCCCCCTCACCCTGCCAAAAGCTACAGCTATTCCTTCAATAACAGGGAGAATTCTGGTGCTTGCCTGGGTGCTTTTCGTAACATAATTAGAAAGGGCATAAGTGTCTATAAGATACCAGAAAGTGTTAAGCATTACCTATATTAGTCATTTAAGAAATCTGAAATCTCCTGTGAAATAAATGAGAAAAGCAGGTGTTCCCTGGAGCCTCATTGAGTGTCTATAGAGTTTAGATTCCACTTGGTGTAAGAGCATCTCCTATGACATGTGCGATCTGGAAGAACCGGGACGCTGAGAAGCTGGAGTTCAGCGTGTGTAACAAACCCAGGAAGCCAGGAGTCAAGCAACGAAGGGCAGCTGTGGAGAGTTGTCGACATGCACAGGAGGTCTACTTACTTCACTGATGGAAGGGAGCAGAAAAGAAGACCGCTAACCCAGCCCGCTCCTAGAAAGCAGCAATGGGTTCTTACTGTTTCCTGACTAGGAGCCAGCCTGGAAAAGATGTGGTGGGAAGAGGACCCTCTAGACAGGAACAACAGCACCAACAAGGCCAAGGGGACACAAAACCCGTGAGACCTAGTGGGAAAGAAGCGCTCAAATACAGAGAGACTAACAGGTCAGCGTCAAAATAGAAACTGCACTTGGCCCCAACTGACCAGACTAAATATCAAAATGGAAAAATGCTCAAAATCACTAATCATCAGAGAAATGCAAATTAAAACCCCAATGAGATATCATCTTACCCCAGTTAGAATATCTATTATCCACAGACAGAAAATAACAAATGCTGGTGAGGATGCAGAGAAAAGGGACCCTTCCTGTGTTGGGGGTGGGAGTGTAAATTGGTACAATCACTGCGGAAAACAGTATGGGGGGGGGGGTTCCTTATATTGTTTTCTCTGTTTTTAGTAGAACTAAAAACAGATCTACCTTATGACCCGGCTATCCCACCACTGGGAATATACCCAAAGGAAATGAAATCAGTAGAGCAAAAAGACACCTGCACTCCCATGTTCATCGTAGCACTATTCACAATAGCCAAGAGATGGAATCAGCCTAAACCCATCAGCCCACCATCGGATGAATGGATGCAATCCTATTCAGCAATAAAAAGAAATGATATCCTATCATTTGCAGCAACATGGATGGAACTGGAAACCATCATGTTAAGTGAAGTATGTCAGGCACAGAAAGTCAAATACTGCATGATTTCACTCATGGGGAATCTTTTAAAAAAAAGTGATGTCATAGAATTAGTAGAATAATGGTTATCAGAGGCTGAGAGGGGAGGGGAATGGGAGAAGGGGTAGACTGATGGATTTTGGACGTGGCTGGCGCCACTGTACACAAAATAAGCACCAGCATTGAAATAGCCGCCGGCCTCAATCTTCCACTCCAGCACCAAGCCCGTCCCCCCTTCCCTTTACGAGAAGCCTCCTGACTTAGAAACAACTTTCCGGCTTCTGCATAAGCGCAGTTCTCCACCCAGTTACATCAACCTAATGGTCCCTCCCCCCGTACATTTCGTGACCAAAAGCTAATATAAACTCTCGCAAACCCATTGTTGCGGCTGTCCCCCATTTTTAGGGCAGCCCCAGGCTGTCCTCCATTTTGAGTACAGCCCACCAGATTTTCTTCCTTTAATAAAGCTTGAATGGTACCCTGCGTCTCGTCTCACTTTCTTTCACTAATGGCTACAAAACTATGTTAGCTACCCTAGGTGAATCATTGTGCAGTATACGTGTGTATTGAAACAACACACTGTACTCCATAAAAATAAGTACCAATAAAATTGAATAAAGAAATAAAAATAAAGAAATAAAAATCAAAATGGAGCCACTCACTCTGAAGTTCTATGTTACCAAACTAAAACTAAGTTGTTGTCTGACCTGAGAAATCAGGAGAGATAACAGCCAATTTCCCAAACAGGCCAGTCTCAATCCTTCAATCATTGTAGAGATCAAGTTTCCCCAGTTTTAATCCTTAACCTGAAGTAACCCAGGCCAGACAAAATGGAATCACCCCTGCTAAGTTCTATGTCACTCAGGTTGTGGTCTGACCTTCCAGAAGTCAGGAGAGCCATTTACATCAGGCCAGTTTAAATCAATAGGTATGATAATGAAGTTCCCTCTATGTTAACTCTTACACAAAGGAGACAGCCAGAAGTAACCCGCTGTTAACTAATGAGTTATTTTTCTATTGTCCTGTCTCCCTTTCCCCACATTACAAGGAAAGTAACTTTGAAATGTTCTTTGTTTCTCCTTTATTCAGGCGTTCTGTTAGCCTTTGTTACTTGTAACAAGCTTCAGAACACTTCTCTGACTGTCGAGTGGTGTTTCCCAGGTCAATCCTTATATTTGGCTCCCAATAAACTTTATAAAATTATTTCTGCCTCAACAGCCTTAATTTCGGTCAACAAGATGTCCCAATAAAAATATTTAGCATCATCCTAGGAGTGACTGGGGCACCTTAAAGGTTTTAAACAGAAAAGGACAGTCAAGAGACTGCATGTTGGATATATGTGAAGGGGTCCTGAATAAGCTGCTGTGGCATAAAAATTATTTTGGGCTAAAGGTGCCTGAGGGAAGATGTCAGACTGAAGCTGATTTTAGAAAACATTCCTTCTAACGTTGTACCGTGATACTCTCCAACCACACACTGAAAAGAAAACTTCCTGTTTCCTGAAGACAAGTTTTCTCTCACCTCTCTGGGACCCCATGCTCCTTTCTACACAACAGGAGTTTGCTAGTTTCACCGGGCCTGCAAGTTCTGCCCCTCCCCCAGCGGTCTCCCAAACCTGCCTCAGGCTCTCCAGGGAGAAGCCTTTGCTGTGGGCACCTGGGCTCCTTTTCCTGTTGCCAGATCCAACCTACTATTCTAATTCTGACGTTTTATTGTTTGTTTTAACACATTAAACTCAGATAGGTAGGTTTCTTGTGTAAATAGTTTAGTGTGTAAACGTAATACTTTTTCGAATAAATGTATTTTAAAAGCAAATAGTATGAGAATAAATGTTCAGTATTTACAGAGAAGGAAAACCAGAAAGTTTCACTTTGTTATATATTTGTTTTTCATATTTTGTATTTTTTTAAACAAAGTTTGCATCAATTTTATGATCAGTAAAGACAACCAAATCCATTTTGACAAAAAGCCAATGTAAAGAAAAGCTAGTTTATCCTTTTTAACTAAAACAATGCCCACCTGGGCTGAGACTATTGTAACCAAGAGCATAATTTGTGCCCAACAAACCTGTGCAGAATCGAAGAGGTCTGCAGTAATGAGGCTTATGTGGAGGACCAGAAGGTCCATTTGGCCTCTGAAGAAGGGAAAGAAGTAATGGAAGGCTGGCTAAGTGGGGGAGGTGTGGGCCAAAATGCAGATGGCAGGACAAAGTGAAGGGAGAACAGACAATGGCATGCCCTAGGAATGGCTCAGCAGGGCTTATAACTACCCAGATTAAGACATTCTTTGTATTCAAGGAAGTAACACAGTTTTCTAAAAGCCAAGGTTGCAGCAAATAAATGGAACCGTGGTCTTTTAAACCCAGAAGACACCAGGAGGGAGGAAATGAGCCAAAGAGAGACCAGGCAGGGGACGAGGGAAGAAAGCAAAGAAAGGACAGAGAGGTCACTGGGGCGCATGCCCCACAGGAAACGGCCTTTTCTACTCCGGATCTCAGCGTTTCTCTGTAAGTCGCCCTCAGAGGGGAGCAGCTTGACACGGACAGACTTCTGCAATGGGTGGCCGGAGACACACGTTCCAGGTCAGGACAGTAAGGCTGCCGGCGAGTCATCGCGACCTCGATCCACCTCGCCAAGCCTTGAATTTGGAAAGAAAAACGAGACGTGCTGCCAGCCGGGGGGCTGCAGAAGACCCTCGCAGGTCTAAGAACAGGGTGCCATGTAAAAAAAAAAAAAAAATAGCATAGGGGCCCACTCCCCATGCAAATTATATTCGTGTCACATAACAATGATAAAGTGTCTCTGTTGAGCTGCCAGACAACTCGACGCCAATCATTTACGCGGTAACATTTTCTTAAATGTTAAGTCGATGGATACTTGAATCCACTCTGACTCTGAACAATCCCTCGAAATGAAACTTCACTCCTCCCCCATGAAAAGGCTGGTGGGGACAAAACGTCACTTCGTAACTGAGGTCACCAACTCTTTTCTTCTGGGGGGCCCAGCTCAGTTCTAGCGGCTCTCGCACTCTCTTCCCTCCCGGATTGGGGCTTCGAGAAGCGCCGGTCCGCGCTCTGCTCTCCACGCTCGCAGCGCCTCCGCCAGGTGGCATCGCGGCCCGGGGCCTCTCCTTCGGCCGCGCGCGGCAGGTAGCAGGGACTTGGGTAGACCCGAGGCAGCGCATCCTCCCGCCCGACCTCTCCACACACCCTCCTCCCTGCACCCCTCGCTCCGCACACCCTACGCGATCACCCTTCTGCCGGGATACCGCCCCGCGCCGGTTCTCGCCTGCCCCGTGCACACCCTGCACGCGCACCCTCCCCTGGCCCGCTCCGGTTCTCCTCTCCCGCCCCGCGTACATCCGTGCGGCGCATCCTCCTCCCCGCGCACCCTCCCCCGGCCCACGCCTGCCCCGCGCTCATCCTGCACGCGCACCCTCCTCCCCGCGCACCCTCCCTCGGCCCGCGCCGGTTCTCGCCTGCCCCGCGCCCACCCGCGCGGCGCACCCTCCCACCCTCTCGCCTCCCCGTGCTCCTCCCGCGCCCTTCCCGGCCGCGCTCCCGACACGTCCTTCGCAGCTGACCGCCCGGGTCCACGCGAGCCTCAGTCACTTCACCTACAGGGATCATTACCAAGGAAGCGGAGGAGCGAACATCGTGCGAGGTGAGAACCGAAAGTAGAACCCGCCCGGCGGACGACTCACCGCTCAGGACTCGCTACACCCGCTGCGCCATCGGTGCGCATCGACGCGGGCGACAAAGACCTCGCCCCGGGGGCCGAGGAAGGCGCAGCTGGCGGGAGGTTCGCGGAGGGCAGGGCCAGGGGCTGCGCGCGGGACCACTTACACGACGGAGCGACGAGCAAGCTGGGTTTCGATCCAAGTCTGCGCGTCCCGCCCGCCGCGGCC